CAAGCAGTCACTGCAGGGTCAGCAATGACTGAGCGCAGACAAAAAAAAAAAAAAATTAAGTGGAAGCGAAGACATCACGTGAATAGTTTGATAGTGTAGTTATCCCACAACAGTATGCCTCACTTTGAGAAGTATTTTCCTGTGTATTTGGAAGCATAAATGTTTCCATGGTAACTTTTGCATGAAGGAAATCTGCCACTGAAAGTGAGTTTGTAAAGGGCTGGGGAAAACATTTGAAAGAGGTACTTACCAATTTGCTTTAATCCAGGTGAAGCACCTCTTTTGAAATCATTAAAATAGCCATGTCCTTTGTAAGGCTCATGTAGCTGCTTCAGTTGTTTGTTCATGTGTCTGCAACACAGCCACCTTGTTTCATTGCTGTTGCAGCACATGGAGGCACAGATACTTTGAAACAGTTTTCAGAGGGGTCTTGCAAGCTTGCAAAGATGCTGCTGTTTTAATGCTATGACGAGAGGAGCTTTGTTTGTACCTCTTCCAGATGCTTTACACGCCCCTCACGCATGTGTCAGCAGAATTGTCAAGAAAGAATCTGCAGATGAAATTGTTCCTATGCCATTGTTGGTATTTTTTTGTAACAAAATATGAGGCAATGAAATACAGAATTGCAGCAGAGACTCATATATATATACATACTTCATTCCTTTTTCCCTTTCTAAAAAAAAATCTTATCAGTAACATGAGGGTTGAAACAAGCATACAAATGTTGATATAACTTGGTTTACACTGTTATAAACAATTGGCCGGCCTGCCATTATCTGCTGCATTGATACAAGTGTGACAAACCTGTCAACAGCTATATGACTGGGTTCATACACTCATTTAACCAGCTCAGTTGAAGAATTAGTGGGCCTTGTTTGCCCAATAAGTGGAGTTTGATTAGTTCTAACTTTGCTTGCAAAGTATAAGTGTGTTGTGTGAACCCAACCTATTTGTGTAATTGAAAGTTTGAGTGTGTTGCAGATGTATACATGTGCCCCATCTGTGAGTAATCAAGTAGTGTGTAATTAGCATGTGACTTATTTTGTTTTTGAAATACAGCTTTAGAATGCTCAGAGATATCCTTAATAAACTTTTCCAGGCAGGCTCTTATTTGTTTCCCAGTTTTGGGAAACAAAGTGCGTCTCCCACACTGATAATTCAAGTGAGAGCTGAGTTTCTCCCAACTTTTCCTGAATTTCTTGCAGTGCTTCTTTCATCCACCAGATGTGCGCAGTTGAGTAATTTTGGCTCAGTTTCATGGTGATGATGTCAGAGCCACAGGATTGGAGGATGAGGTCGCCTGACATTGTGTCATCAGGGCGGTGGCCATTTCGTCCCTCCCCTCCTCCTCCTCCCCCCTCTCCTCCTTCTGCCCCCTCCTTTTTTGCTGGCCTCATTTCTCAGAACAAAGAAAACAAAGGGCAGGGTGTTCCTTTTCCGCAGATAAAAGATTTTGTTGGCTGCCACAGCATCTTCTTTTCTCCCATCTGTTTCTTCCTTTTTATAGTACTTCTCCCTTTATCATACATCTCCCTTTAACCTTTAATAGCAGCCCAGACTGTATTTTAGAGAGTTTTTGTGTTCAATGTAATCAGAGAGATTTATCAGCTTTATCCATGGTGTATGGGGGGAGGGGAGCAGGGAGGGAGACCTAGCCAGAGCTTAAAATACTTACTCAGGGCTTCCATCTGTTACCTGAACAGTTGTAAGCTGTTCCCTATTCCATTATGGAATATTTTACGGATACTTAATTACAAAACATGTTAGGCTTTTTATTCTGATACTGTAATACTTCCCTATCAGTTTTCTGTTATATTTTGCTTTTTAGCCTTCCGTATAGTTGTATTTTATTTATACCCTGCACCTCTGTATAATGGTTTAGATTTAGGGCATCCCCAAGCCCACCCTGCAATATGAAAGCTCTAATTTTGCGATCTTCCTGGGCTAATTCATGCAGGCTAAGTTGGGAAAATAAATTAAAAACTATTTCTGTAAATCCTAAGTCTTTCATAGAACCATTTAATGCTGTCATGTTACTTCTTAAACTCTTGAAATACAAGAATGACAAAGCCAACATCTGAAAGTTGAAATAATTATTTCCTTTTTCAAATTCTAATTTATGATACCTAAATAATGCATTTGTGTAGCATATAACAATAGGTCTCTGCAGAATTATTGTGGAAGATTTAATATGGCAGAGTATTGTCCAAATATGGACCTTTTGGGACTATAATTACAGAATTGTGGCTCAAACGTAGAATAGATATGAATCTGACTGAGAGAGGTGGCAATTCCACAGACTTCTTGGTCGCTAGCAGGCCTTCTTAGTTTCATTGTTAATGCATGCTTTCTCAATCCTAAAGCATTTCAGCACCAAACCAGGGTTTTTTAAACACCAGATGGTGCTGTTGCCTTATTTTACTATTCTTTGTCTTCCTTTGCCGCATTCAGCCATTTTAGGCAGGATGTTTGCCTTCCCTCTAGACTCCATTTTGTGTTGATGGCGCAGAAAAAAATAAAATTGAGCAAGGGAGGAGTCTGCAGGAAGAATGAAGCATGCTGAGTCAAAGGCTGCTGCTATTTGATGGCTCTGCTTTCTGCCTTTTCTCATGCTCACTCAGCAGACCCAGGCCAGCAAGCAAGCTTTATTTCATGGAAAGTGATATGTGATCAATAGCAGTTAAAAATTACATTTAGCCACACTGAGCCACTTTTTCTGTCTATTCAAGTAAATGCTGACAATCCAGGCAATTGGTTTCTTTTCATTCATAACTCTCAGTTATCTTTCAGGAAAATGCTTACATGTCAGACAAAACTTGTAGCTATATTTAGCTAAGCTGGAAAGGTATGAATCATAGTGGGGGGAAATGTAAGGAAGCAACAAATAGAAAGCAGTAATTATCAGAAACAGATTATTGACAAGTTTTGGAAAGGTAAATATGCTTTCCCATGAATAAGCTGACATATTTATAAATTTGTTTTATTCAGACTTACTCTGTTCTCTAGCAATTCTGTTTTGATATGTAGCATGTGAGCTCCCTCCCCATGACACTGATTCATATTTCAAGTTTTGCTGTTAGGTAGAGGATGTAGGGGCTTTTAGTCTCCTCTTATTGCTAGAAATATCAATGCTGAGTCAAAATTGACTGCTACAATACATGAGAGTGATGAGCTTATAGTAATAGCCCAGAGGGCTGAGTTGTTAAACTATTGTTTCTTCATCAGTGAGCTTAACTTCAGGAGGTTACTGTGACATGGACCTCAAACTTTATTTTCAGAAGAGCTGTATCTGCTTTCTCAGGTCTATTTCTGCCTCTCTCCAAATTTAGGAAAAATACCTCTTTGCTTGTTTTCCTCTTGCCTTCATTAATTGATTTCAGAGGGATAACCCTACCTTTTGGAGGGGGGAAAAACAGAAGGCAGAACATAATTACTTCTTTAGAAATGACTGAACCTAAAACAGTAAGTTAGGTGTGACACAGGCATTATTACATTAAGTAGCTGGTTAGCGTAGGTAATATGATAAGAAAAAATAATCCTTATTTAATCCATGAGAAATGGTGTTAAATCTCCTAATGAATTCATGAATTCCTGCTTACAGAAATCAGTCTGTAATTCCTTTTCTTGCCAATATAATAAAGATTGTGTACTCACATCTAACTGCTAATTTAGGATTGGTCACCTCTAAAGTAATTCTTTTTCTGATATCATTCCTGTTTCCCCCTCCTTTCCCAACAACAGCTGTGATAATATATCCTCTTCTATGCACTTGATGTGATGAATTGTGATCCATAAAAGTTTATGTGATAATGTATTTATTGGTTTTCAGAATGTCAGGGCTATTTCTAATAACTGAGTTCACCACTGTGTCATTCTTAATGAGCTAGTGAATCTGTGGCCTTGCTCCACCATTTCCCTGAGCAGGTACAAGCTCAGATAATCAAATATTAGTACATTTTATCATATATTTCTTGTACATAGAAAATTATGCTATTCACAAGGGAAATGGTTCCCCCCATTTAGTTTTCTCCATGAAGGGAATATTTTCATCTATAAAGGGCATTCCACTTTGTATATTCCCAGATTCATACCACTGTTGCAGCTCATCTTGGTAATCACTTGAGATTCTAATGCCCCAAGTGGAAGTACCTCCCATTTTGTACCTTAGAGCAAGATTCTATTTCCTAATTATGCTGTGCCTCTTTTTTTTTTTTTTTGTATAAAGCCTTTTCTTACCTAAATTTTTTGTACCCCTTTGTGAAAGGGTTGCAGAACGGTCCTTTTTATAGAAGGATTTGTTACTGCTTTGAAATAATAAATGGGGGGATGACAGCCTAGTTTTGCTCTGTGAGGAGTAATTTGAAAGATACCTGATACTGGTTGCACCTACCATAGCTTTCCTTCCCTCTTTTAAAAATCCTTTCAGCGGTCAGGGGATGCTCTGTATTCGTTTTGAGAGATTGGTAGCTATGGACAGTTCTGGTGAAATTGTCTTAGGTTGCTAAGATCTTTCATTCTTCACAGCAAAAAAACAACAAGAGAGTGGAGAGGAAAAGGGCCAGCCTAAGAAGAAAGTCAAGGAGCTGAGAGTGCTAGATTCAAAGAATGCTCAGAACCTTTGTGAGTATGATTTACTGGGAAAGTTTGCCTATGATGGTGTGACAACATTCAAAATGTATTTGAATGCTTATCTGAAAGAATGAGGGTAAAGTCAGGAAAGGTGGATTTCTCTGATTTGAATATTTGGATGAGCCAATAATTTGGTTTATTTGTGCTTCTCTTTAAATGTGGCAGCAATTTTTTTGGGCTCCTTCCGCTTACCTTATGAGGAAATCAAGAATGCCATCTTGGAGGTGAATGAAGCTGTGTTGAATGAATCCATGGTACAGGTGAGAAAGAGTAGAGTGCATGATCATATTTTCTCTGTAGAGAGTAAGTCTGCACAGCCTGTATCCATCAAGTTGAACTCAATCCCCAGTAGTTCTGGTAGTCAAGAAAGCCTCCTCTTTTGCTATCTAGGATTGCAAAAACAGAGAGATTGTCAAGAACTGGCAGCCGCAAGGTTTCTGCTTGATGGGTCATAAATTATTCAGGCTTGGTATATAATAATCAGGAGATTATGCTGTCATTGGATCCCTTGTATTTGAATTGTTGCTATGCAGAGGCATATCGAATTATGTCAAAAGGGTTCCATAGTTTGAAAGACCCATCCTTAGACTAGTTATTTTTTAGGTCAGTATTATCATATTTATCAGAAGCTCTTCAAGCAACTGTATCCTTTTAACTTCTTTCTCAGAATCTGATTAAGTTAATGCCTGAACCAGACAAATTGAAGATGATAGCAGGACTGGAAGAAGAATATAATGAACTAGCTGAGCCTGAGCAATTTGGAATTGTGGTAAGTGACAGTCCTTTGCAGAAGAGGAATCATCTCTCTTTCTGAAAAGAAATAGATAACTAAAACACAATAATACATTGTAAGTTTGTCCCCTTTATTTCTCAGACTTAGCCTGTCATATCTTTTGTTAGGATATTCTACCATTAAATATACTATGTACATTGTCCTTAAGTGCTTCTTTTCTTTTTCTTTTTAGATTTGAGCATAGTCCTTAACTTCCAGCCCTATATGTCTTGTATTACCTGAGCTGTCTGAAATTCTAAAATTTTCAAATGCTAAACAGACCTTGCCTCTAAATCTCTGATATTGGACTCCATCTTCCCCAACAAAAAAGATTAAGGCTTCAGAAATACTTGTTTTTTGCTCTTCAAACATCTGGAGCCTTAGACTGTGAGGGGAGGAGAATGCTGCTGTTCAAGGGGAGACTTTGCCAGGAAGCACCTCTTCTTTTGAAGTAGAGTTAGAGTTGATTGGAACTAGTTAATTGAAAATAATAGGGAAAACACAAGAGGCTCAGTAATACAGCATTTTTTTTTTGAAAGATAAATTAAAAGGTTACATGCAGTGCACCCCTCCAATATGAGGATGAAAACAGATAAGCAGTTTCTGAAGTTGCTATATGTTTTAAGGGGAACTGAATTCAGAATCAGGTTTGGTTTAATTAATGTAACATCTTCTGATAAAATATTGCCTTCTATAATTCAGTGTCTAGGGCTAAATACCACAAAAATTGGGATAGAATCATAGCATTGAATGGCCAGGAATCCAAATGAAAGCACCCACAACCTTTACTTGACTACATCAGACAAAGGTGACATATAATTGGGTTGATTCTACTATCAACATGCTCTTATTCTTATGAAGCTTTTTTAAACATTCACTTGGAATCTTCTGCCAGTTAAATCCATTGTTCTGTCTTAACATTTTTCTATGTGATATTCTTTCAGATATATTAAGAGTATCATATCTCTAGATATACAACTTCCATTCCTTTAGTCCCTCTTCATAGGACTTAGTTTTTGGTCCTGGATCATCCTCACTGCTCTTCTCTGAACCAGTTCCAATTTGACTGAACACTTCTTAAAGTGTAGTACCCAGAACTAAACACAGTAATCAAGGTGGGGTCACACCATTGCAGAATAAAGTGGAATGATTTAGAAACTGATTTTGCTGATGCAGCCAAAAATTGCATTTCTGTTTTTTGGAACTAAATGATACAGCTGCATAATTCAGTGTATAATCCAAGACCTTTTTCATAAGTAACAAACCAAATTCCAAATTCCAGGCTACTATCATGCATACAGTACTTGTGCATTTGATTTTTTCCTACATGTTTAATTTTGCATTTCTCTCTCTTAAATTGCATTCCTTAAGTTACTTATTTTCAGTATTATTTCTATCTTTTAGGGTATTAGCTATCCCATCCAATTTTGTGTCAAGTGCAAATTGTTACAATAAAAATGGTGAAGAGTGCAGAGCCCAGGACTGAATCTTGTGGTGTCCCATTCAATACCTATTCCAGCTTGAGGAGGAACCATTGATGAGCATTCTTTGAGTGCAGTTTTCAAGTCAGCTATGTTTCTGCTTAATTGTCATGACATCCAGCCCATCAAATATGAGATAAGGTTAGTCTAGTAAGCCTTGTTCTTGATAAATCCATGCTGACTTCTGGTGATCACAGTATTGTTTTCAAGATGCTTACAGATCACTTTATGATCTGCTTTACAAGCCTCCCAGCTATTGATGTCAGACTGACTGATATGGGGTTCTCTAGATTCTCTTTTTACCTCTTTATATAGATAGGTGTAATATTTCCCCTTATTCTGTCATCTGGCACTTCACCAGTTGTCTTGGATTTCTCAAATAATATATAAAGATTAAGCTGGTTCATAAGCAAATTCTTTCAGTGCCCTAGATTTAAACATTAAAAGTGAATAATTATTACTTGACATTTTTCTATCAATGTCAAGCTTCAGTCCTGCCCCTTGATTCTGCCTTGAGGAACACACATCCTCCTGTTGAAGAAAAGCAAAATGTCTTTGTTTCCTGTTAGTATTTTGCCACCCATTGAGAGCTGATATACAAATTATTTCCTGTTTATTTTGAACTTATATGAGGAAGCATTTTTTTGTTGTCCTTTGCATGCTTTGCCAAACTCAAGTCATTCTGAGTTTTATTTTTTCTGACTGCATCTCTACAATTTCAAACTACCTATATTTACTTCTTTGGTAAACTGTCTTGTTTTTTATTCTTTATTCATGTCATTTTTGTTTTCAGATTTTCACTGAAGTTTTTTGTGCTACCATATTGGTATCCTCTGCTTCCTCCTCCTCTGGATTGTTTGCCATTGTGCTTTTATTGTATTTTTAAGAATTCCCACCACCTGGACTTCTTTTTTCCAGCTGTTAAATCTGAGTTATAATTTATCTCAGGTTGTTAAAATCCACTTTCTTGGTACTTGGTTTTAATTTCCCTTCAAATCAAAACCTCCAATATTAAATGGTCACTTCCAGCCAATGTTCATGCTACTTCCATCTTCTTAACTAAGTCATCTCTTTTGCTTAGTATTAATTTAAGGATAGCTGATCCTCTTATGTGTTCCTTCACCCTTTCAAGAAGCAAGACAAGTCAAGAATCACGTGTTGCATGATTGTCTTCCAAACAGTTGTCAGGGGAATTAAGGCCCCCTGTCATTGTTACTATATATGTCTGTGAAAGATACACAGTTTGTTTTTGGAAGCATCATCAACATCTCTTTGGATGGGCAGTATTAGACACCAATAATAGTGTTTCTTTTATTTATGCCTCAACTTATTTTAACCCTGATTTTCTCAACAGTCTTGCCAAGTTTATTTATTTAGGATTCTGAGCCAGCAGTAGATGCACTACAGTACAACTTCTCTTCCTTTAGTATAGCTTGTGTATATTGTTAGGTTCTTATATTCCTTTTTTGGGGGCTTAATAATTTTATTGTCATTTTTAATAAAAATAGTAAGAACTAATAGAAACTAAAAGAAAAAAGAAAAATAAAAGTTCAGAAGGTGCAGAAAAAAGAAAAAAAAGTAGAAGAGAAAAGAAAAAGGCAACAAAGACAATAATAAAGAAGTGGCTTCCAACCTTCATCACACCAAGTATAATACTAAGTTTTTCACTCTCTTTTAAAGTTACAGATAGAAAAACTCTTCTCCCCGTAGCCTAACTTTTATTTATATG